ACATAAAAGAAATGCAAATACCATTAAAGAAATTAATGTCGATGGAAAAACAATTCTAATAGCTTTTCTGGTGAAGGTTGAATCTCGTGTCGATATTATTATGAGTTAGTTAAAAGGTTTAAATCTCCATTTATGTTTGAGATTTGAGAGATTAAATATTACATATATTTTCCTTCTCGATATATATACAATTTTGTTTTAGACAAATATACACTACAAAGCTATGTTTAGTTTTAAAAAAAAAAGTAATTAAAAAATTAAGTGAAAAATGAGACGCTTTTTAATTATTTAGTTCGTGCATAAAAAAATTAAATGTGAAATTTCTATATATATATATATATATATAGGGGTTTGCTAACGCGTACGCCTGTTTTTCAGTTGGTACATTTTAGCAATGTGTACCGGGTTTTAGTAGACAAAAATATCCTTATATATCATGTATTCTAAGTTTTAAGGTTAAGGGTATTTTAATAATACTCACATCTCTCATTCGTCTCAACCCTTTTTCTTTCCTCTTTCTCACTCCAATCTTTTCTCTGTCATCCCTGTAGCCCAATTGAAAAAATCAGAAACACTTGTTGTTAAACAATCTTACAAAAAAAATGATTTTATAATGAGTTTTCATCTTATAATTTTTGTCTTATCTAATTTTATCCAATTTTCACAAGCATAAAGGAATTGGTAATTGACCTGGAAAAAATCAGAAATACTCGCTGTTAAACAATTTCTTACAAAAAATGATTTTATAATGAGTTTTTATTTTATAATTTTGTCTTATCTAATTTTATCTAATTTTCACAAGCATAATGACATCAAAGGAATTGGTAGTTGTTAAACAATTTCTTACAAAAAATGACTTTATAATAAGTTTTCATTTTATAATTTTTGTCGTATATAATTTTATCTAATTTTCACAAGCACAATGACATCCGAAAGAATTGGTAATTGGCCTGGAGGATTTTTTTAGAGATGATGATTCAACAAATACAGATGATGAAATTAGAGAGGTAGTGAAGATGGTGAAATTGAAGAGATCTTGAATGAACCTTTGTCTTGAAGGTGAATATGTCAATGACTCAACTCTTTGCAAAGGAAAATTTTTTAAAGAGATGTGTTTCTGATTTTTTTCAATTGGGGCTACAATAGGGATGACAGAGAAAAGGTTGGAGTGAGAGAGATGAAAGAGAAAGGATTGAGAGAATGAGAGAGGTGAGTAAGGGTTTGGGGTTTTTTTTTTTTTTTAAGTGTTGAGAATGAAAATTATTAAAATACCCTTAACCTTAAAACTTGGAATCCATAATATATAAGGGTATTTTTGTCTACTAAATCCGGTACACATTGCTAAAATGTATCAACTGAAAAACAGGCGTACGTGCGTTAGCAAATCCCATATATATATATATATATATATATATATATATATATATTACATCCCTAAAAACCAATGTAATATATTTTTCAACAAACGTTTAATTGATTTACATATACACATATTATATAAACTTTTATTATAAGTATTGTAATATTTATCTATATTAAACCGATGTAAAAAATATCAAACTTAATATATTTGTGGTATCTACGTCGATCTAAAAGTCGATGTAAATAATCATAAATAATCGACATAAAATATTTTTTTAATTGTTAATGTACAATCAAAACTTGTAACGATAGGAAAAAATTGTAAATGATAATTCTAACTTTAGTGATTCTTAGTCCCAGTTATATTCAAATAAAAAAAAACAGAAAACAACATAGCTTAAATCTTTGAACTATTGAAAATATAAATTAAAACGTAAAATATTAAGAACTGTTATTTGATAATAAAAAAAAATCATAAAATTGACTAAACAGGAAAATATGATTGTCCATGATGTTGTGATTTGTGTCTATTGTAGAGGAAGAACTTTTTGATTTTGTCGGTGAATCTAAACCTGTAACAAGAAATTGTACAAGAAAAAGAAATATATATTACAACTTAGAAGGTACAAAATACATAAATTAAACAAAAAAGCAATTTATCAAAATAGTACAAAATTAAATGCATGTATAAAATTATTATATAGTTGAGAAAAATACAGAAAAACAAATCTCAATTTCAGGTGTTGAGCATAACGTTACATTGATATTTATCAAGTTTTCTTTAGAGACGCAACATATCTTGCTTCATCTAATAACAATAAAGATGTTTATTTTTCATTAAAATAAAAATAAACTAAGTTTATGAAAAGTAATAATAATAAACATGTAAGTATATTTTAAGAGAATAAATTAGTTCCTTTTACATTAATAATGTATATTAATGAATTAGTTAATTGTAAATCAATTCACTCTTATTTTGTAATATATAATTTTATATATATGTGTATGCGCGTGTGTGTATGTATTCAATGACTCACTTGATTTCTACAAATAATTATAACTTTTTTATTTTTAGAAACGTGTTGGTAATCGAGAAGAATGTTTAGGAACCAGCATTATAACTTCAACTTTAATATAATGTGAGACTTTTCAGTATTTTATTTTAAGTACGTTCTAAGTAAAATTGATTCGTACGAAAAAAATTGACAAACTCTTACTTAAAATTTACCTAATTTATTTTCTTCTTATGTTGCGTCCAAACAAGGAGTTAATTGATTCCAAGTACCACGAAGTATAATAGTGAAATGGGCAACGAAATCATCGTTCCAAATATAACCCTGCGAATTTTGAGAATTCCCTTAAGAATATGTTATAATTTGTTGTATTCATAATAGTTTTTTTGAATAATTATAAATTTGAAACATATATACACACTTACGCAGTGCTTATAATGTCTGTGTGTAGATTGTACTGTTTGGAAAATACAAAAGTGATAATAGATTGGGGAAGAGCAGCCTGCAAATTAAAAATGGTGAATAAATAGTTATTTTTTAAATTATAATCTTAATGTAAATTATAAAGTTAGAAGAGTGAGTGAAAACGAAAATTATTTTTAAAAATATACAAAAATTATAATTTCACTTACTTGAATAATAGCAATACGTAAAAGAACTCCTCGGATACCGATGGATATGGCTGTGACAGCAATAACTGTGGGACCAACGACGAATCGGGCCACCATTGATACTATTGCCCAAGTGTTTCCACAAGCAACCAGTTTCGGTTGTAATGCCATGTACAAACCTATATATTTAATTATTTATCATTAATCACAAAAAAAAAATCTTAAAAACTAATCTTAATATATTATAATTTTTTTGTATTTTTTTAATATGTTTCAAATAATCTCTTTACTCTTTAAACCTGATTATAAAATTATAAAAACTATGTATACTGAGAGATTTATACACAGTAATATCATTTTAAAAATAAATAAATTATATTTTAATTCATCTTATGTTTTTTCCTCGTCATTAAGAATTGTTTAAAGACTAACCTTGTTTTCTAAAAATTTTAAATGCTCTTGCGTCTGTGTTGTTTCATTTACAGGGAACAAAAATAATAATAAATTTCAGGGCCACAACACAAGGACAAAATGACCTAATAATTTCTATTGCATCTGTAGAATGGAGAAAAAGTTGAATGTGATGAGCCTAAATTAGTTGACAATGACACACTCATCATAAATGAATATAACAACGTTGAAGACTATACCTATGCTGAACATGGCCATTCCTGTCCCTGTTTTGGACAATATTAAAATCGAACCATCTACGATCAAAGGAATCTTTATATTCCACCTGCAAATCAACACGACAACGTTTACATAAACAAAAAATAGTAAATAATAATAATATTAATAAAATTTGTTGAAAATACCTAAATGATATGAGAGACCATATGAATCCAAGAGCACAAGCGTAGGTATTAGGGTTTCTTATTAGATTCCTCCAAACCATGGTGAGAATGAGCCTTGTCATGACACTAGTGCGTGGCATTTGCTGCTTTTTATTGTATGCACCTCCTTCTTCAATTTTCACCTCTTTCGACTTTTCGCTTAAAGTGTCTTCAACCTTTTTGTTTTCGATTGCTTCAATATGATTAATCATCGTCACAATTGACTCATGTTTCACTGTATATAAAATCAGATAGTTAACACGACACAATGTACTAAAAGAAAGTTTATAAAAAATTTATTACATTTTTTAATCCATGAAATATTATATCTTTTTACTCCAAATTCTTTTCGACTTTTCTCATTGAAATTTTAAGACTCACTATCTGTCTTCATTACAAAAGTATTATTGATATGACTAATATAATATGATCATGTTTTGTTAATTGAGGATTAAAAGTAATAGAAATATAATTTGTTCACAACTCCATTTTCTTTTTCAAGAAGTCATATATGAAATGGAAAAGGAGATAAAATATCATTATTGAAATTAAAAACAATTAAGGAGATAAAATTTCATATATAAAGTATAATTTTTTTTTCATCTCCATCCTAACATAACTTTATACACGTATCTTTTTCTTAATGTTTTAATATTAATTAATTACTTTTTCTTAATACTCAATATATTTTCATTTTTTAATGTCAAATATTTTTAAAAAAATTATAATTGTATAAATTTTAAATTAAAGTATTAAATAGTAATTAGATAAAAGTGAAAGAATTAAATAAAATATTACAAAGTTACACATAAATAAAATATTATGACAATCACAATCTTATTAATTTTTACAAATACTAATGAAACAAAGTTGATAAGTTAAAAAAACTAAAATGCCTTTTTACTTTTTTTTCTTTATATTATAGTGAAATATATTTTCTATAAACTAATAAATATTATAATACATCACTCAAACCAAATTCAATAAAAAAAAGATTAAACTAATATAAATCAAATTTAAATATAAACTTTTTATTTTTTTTTAAATTCAATTTATGTTGGATGGTGATAAACAAATTTCATGATAATGAAATAATTATATATACAAAATTATCATAACACAATATTTTACATGATAAAAGAAATATCATCATCATAAAAATAATTTTATTTACCACCTAAAAAATCACATAAAGTAAAACAATTGGTTGATTTACTATCAAACTTATTTAGTGACATCTATATCACTTTTGAAAACCAATATCAATACTTATAAATAACTGATGTATAGTGTTTTTTTTAACAGGGATTGAACAAAATTATACAAAGAATATATAATTAAAAAAAGATAAAAATTATCTTAAATATTTAAAAAAAACTTTTCAAATATTATATTAATTGAATTGTTGAGAAATAATAAATATTATTTCTACAAAAAGTTTTTCAAATGAACTAAAAATAAGAATCAAAGTGAATAAAAAGGATACGTTTTTTTATATTACTTACTAAAAGATCTATAGGATCGAACAATTCCACTTAAAACCTATACATAAAAAATAAACAATAACTAAAATTATTATAATGAAATTAAAATTAAAATTTTAATTAAAACTCAAGATATATTGATAATATAATTTAAATTAAGACTTTAAGAAAATAAAAATAAATGAACTTTCTTTCATAAATAAAGTTAGTTAATTTATAAAAAACTATTGTATATTATTTTATCCGTTTTAGCATCAAACCATAACACACTGAAAAGAAAATAAACCTTGGTTGCGAATAGTGTCCTTCCACATGTTTTCGTCGTTGATCTCGAAGATTGCTCTTTCAAAATCCTGGCCTCGAAGATCACGTGTGGTGTTAAAACTCAAAGATCTTTGCATGGACAAAATCTGTGTTCCACGACGATTTGACGTTGAGCAGTTACAAGGCTTGTTGAAGGAAGGGCTCTTCACCACCACATGAACCTCTCCATTTTCTCCCATTTCCGCTTCAGTTTGCAGCGGCTCGTTGTCGCAAAGCGAGAGAACATCAGAGTCAATGGTGAAGGAGACGATGGAGCCACCGTTCTCAGGGAACTGCATCGAAATAAGGCTTCTGGCACCTCTGTATTCGTACAAGAACAGCATGAGAGTGAACCAGACCACACCCTGCATGATGAAAATGTGACTCATGAGGATGGCTGATGAGTCTCCGTACATGGCCGTTAGAAGCGTTGCACCCACGACCACCGTGTTGGGCAGCGTACAAAGTGAGAAGAGGGTGATGGTCCAGTCGATGCTGCCATATTTCGTGAAGACGGACCATATAAAAAGAGCACCCAGAATCACCAATTTCTGAAGCGTGTCAGCGGCTATGAACCTCAAGTTCATAGTGTAAGGGTTGTTGGTAGCTAGGAAATAGAAGTTAAGGAAAGGAGAGGCGAAAAATGCCACGAAGCGGTTTATGCCAGAGCATTGTTCCGGCGTGATGATCTTCCACCACTGGACGGAGCCATAGGCTAGAATCATCGGCACATATAGTGGCACAAGAGCTGACAAAGTGTTGTATATACCTTGGCCGTTTATCATTGTTGTAGTATTAACAAGAGATTATGAACAATGACAGTGAAAAAGAAATGGCAGAATGATGGTATTTATTAGAGAAACTAAGATATAGCACGAAGGAGAAGTGACGACAGATTGGAATTTCAATCTGACTCCAACCTTTATTAGCATTAAATTATTACATTAAATAGCGTTTTTTTTTATAAAAGTAAGCAAATATGGTGGAGTAGACAAATTTTAAAAAGATCAAGTTGTGCTTGTGGGGAAGACATTAAATCAAGAAATCACCTCCACACAATTTTATCTGTCTATGGATAAACACACTTTCAGCTTGGAAGTTGTTTGAAGGTGTATGACTTCCATGAAATGCGATTCATTATCAATTACATTTCATCAAAGTTATTGGCAGACTCTTTTTAAAAGAAAGTTGTACAGAGGATGAAAACAACTTCTAACGTTTGTGAAATCTAAGGTCATAAATGCTTTTAACAAAACCAAAATGATGTTATAACTTCAATACCAATTCTAAAAAGACTTTTTAACTTTTACAAAAGCCTCATTTTAACTTTTACAAAAGGTTCATCATAAAAAGGAAAATGTCAAAGTGATAAAAAGAAGTGGTAATGAGATGGAGATATAGTAGAGATGCATTCTTGTAAGAATAATAACATAATAATATATAATAATTAATATATTAAATTATTGAAATTTTGGTATAATAGATAAATATTACTCGGTCGAGGTTGATTACTTTATAATGAATAAGTTTAAAAAATATTATTAAATCACATTCTTTTAATATTTATTAAATTAGATACGAACAAAAATTTTATTATTTATAAAATGTCTTATCTTTATATCTTAAAAAATTTTGAAAAAAAATTGTAACAAATAAATGATAATTTTACAATAGTTTAGAAATTAGAGATGAGACTCAAAAGAATTAAAACAACTTGTGAGATGTTGATATGATTTATCTCAAATTAACTTAAATGAGAGTGAGAGACACTAACACTAATCATATTTAGAAATTTTTAGTCAATTTTCACATACCACTTTTAGTTACATTATAAATTTTTAACTTCATATATAATTTTTTTTCATATTTAATTACAATAATAGGTTTTCCTTCTGTACGCGGTGACTTGATGAACGAATGTGTGGTATAGAAGAGAGGTATGGTATTTTATAAATATAAAATGATCTGAAGACCAAGAATTTACTATGTAGGCTATAGGGGTTAAATCTTCATTATTTAACCTATATGTCATTAATTGTTTCAATGCTATTTTTGCGACAATTAAACATTTTATATACAATTTTTATTTTAATAAAGGTCCTAACATAAAAATTGCATATTTTTATAAGCATTATAATCATTTTTTTTTATATTTTGAAAATAATTACATAAGATCATCATTGTATTATTATTACTATTTTTTTTAGTTAATCATTTTTGATAAAATATTTTGTTTTAAATTCTTTATTTACACGTTTAACTCAATATTTTACTGAAGAAGGATAGATTGAAAAAAAAAAGTCAATAATAGTTTAGGTGAGTCTTTATGTGATGCCACTAGTAAAAAAAAAGGATTTAAACTCGCACAATAGGTTTCGGTTTAGGAGCAATCGAAGCCTATCAGAACGCGGTGACATTTTCATAGATTAATCGAACTTTTATGCCTCGGTTATATGGGAACCGAGGCATATACACCATATGACCTCGGTTAAAGTACCAATCGGTGCTTAATACTCTGAAAATTTCTACATATTTAACTTTTGAGCCTGACAACTTTTTGAACCCTGATATACTGCCTCGGTTCAGTGGGGGACCCGAGGCATGTGCACAATATGACCTCAGTTAAATGGGCACCCGAGGCATATACTTCAAAAAGCTTCTGCCATTTCAAATACTTTTCTCCTTCTCTGCGTCCCGCACAACTTCTGCTATTTCTCTTTTTCCATCTCTCTTCACCGCAAAGGGCCATTTCTCCTTTCCTATGCTTCGCCGCACAGTGAGAGAAGGCGACAGGAGGCGTTCGTGGTGGCTCGCAGCGACGCTCGTGGTGGCTCGCAGCGGCGCTCATGGTGGCTCGTGGAGGCGCGACGATCTGGTGCGGAGAGGTCGCGGTGAATGTGCGAGGACGTTGGTCGTTCTGATTCGCGACGCAAAGGGGAGGCTCCCCTTCTCTTTTCTGCATAGTGAGAGAAGGCGTGACAGGCGGCGTTCGTGGTGGCTCACAACGGTGCTCGTGGTGGCTCGCAACAGTGCTCATGGTGGCTTGTGGAGGCGAACCAATGGTGCGGCGAGGTCGCGGTGACTGTGCGAGGACGTTGGTCTTCCTGATTCACGGCGCAAAGGGGAGCTGTGCGAGTGACCTCCAGCGACGACGACGAGGGTGAAGGGCTAGGTATCCGGTGAAGGCAGTGTAAAAAACGGAACTGTGATTTTGGTGGTGCTGATTTTGCGATTTAGGGTTTGGGTTGTTCTTAAATTTTTGGGGTTTATGTTTTGATGAACTGATGATCTTATTTGGGTTGTTCTTAAATTTTTGGGGTTTATGTTTTGATGAACTGATGATCTTATTTGGGTTGATCTTAATACTACGATTTAAGATCTAATTTGGGGTTTTTCCTGTTATGGTGTTTTAATCTGGTAATTTTGGTTTACATTGATGGCTGAGATATGGGTTTTGTATATGGCTTTTGATTGCTATGGCTGAGATATGCGATCTTGTGGTGTTGGTCGGCGGCGTGACCATACTACCTCGGTTCCTTTTAAACAGAGGTTAAATCCACATCGTTTTGACTCGGTTCACATCGAGGCATAAAAGTGAAGACTTTTTACCTCGTCTTCTTATGTCTCGGGTCAATAACCGGTGCCTATAGACAAAAGTAATCGGTGTCACTGTCTCTGACTGCACTAGTGTGCAGATTACATTAAATTATCCTTAGAAAAATATATATAGTTTTACTAAGAAATAAATATTATTACTGTTACTTTTATTATTACTCCTATTTTTAATTAACAATGAATACATAAAATAAATCTTAATATTTTTGAGTATATAATACTTTTCTAAATTAAGTTTACAAGATTCATTGTCTTGTATCTTTTTTTTCTTTGGTTATTCTTAAACATATATTAATTATCTATATTTTCATTTAATTATGTTATACACAAGATAACCATATATTAATTATCTATATTTTCATTTAATTATGTTATACACAAGATAACCATTGTAGATATATTAAAATTATCTTATTTATTATTATCAAAATATAAGTATTTTTTTCGTGGCTTTTATGTTAAACTTGTGTTTTATTATTTCTTGACTTATTAATGCTTAATATAAAATGATGATGATGGAAAGATTTTTATATAATAAATTATGATAGGATATTTGTACAAAAATATTATAATTTAATTATATAATTAGTTTAAAGGGAAATTTTAATATTTGAAAAAAAAATTATATATTATTTTAAAAATTTATTATTACTTTCATAATTTTAAATTTTATTAAATTTTGGTAAGTCAATCATGAGTGTTAATTCCGTTGCTAATTTTGCTATTACAATAGAGAACATAGCAAAATCTTGAAGAATTTTAGAGCAGGCTTGTTTAAAAAATATAAAATATAAAATTAGTTTCCATAACATTGATTGAGAAAATTGTTAATCTTTTGTATCTCTTAATATAAAATATATATTAGTTATCATTCATTGACGAAAATTTACTATATCTCTACTAAATTTCAAATTGTGTTTAGGTATGAAATAAATGAGGATAAGTATTGATTATCACATCCAACCAGTATCAATACTATAATTATTAAAAATATAAAATAATTAAAATAACTTATGTTTATATTTTGACTAAATCAGATAGATATAAGCTAAAGAAACTAGGTATACTCAGTTTTAAAACTTGCTGTTATATGTACACGTGAGCTAGGCATTAATTGACAGAAAAAAATAAAAGAAAAGAAAGGGTAGTATGGTACTTAAAACTTGTTTTTCACCTCACCAAATATTTTTGAATAAGGTGAAAATTATAATATAAACAGTGATTCTTTGTGTCTAACAAAATTTAGAAAAAATAACTTTTGTTACAATATTTACATTTTTATATTATACACATAACAAGACAGCCATCAAACGTACATGACAATTTTTTTATTATATCAAGTTATTTTTATCCAAATTCTGGTCCTATTGTTAATTAAATTTTCTGTTTATTATGCATTTTAAAGTAAACTTTTATTGAATTTATAAATTAGATATATTATTTTATTATTATTATTTTGAATTTAAAAATATATATATATATATATATATATATATATATATATATATATATATATAAAGTATAAATAATTATAGAACGTGGAGATATACATTTATTTTGATGTGACATCAATATTAATTAATAATAAATAGTGTATGGTGGGATTCATTGGACCTAATGTGTGGTGTTGGTAACGGAGGAGAAAATAACATGATTAATGAAAACTTTTATCCCAATATAACACCAGGCATTTCAATAAAAATATTATTTTAATATAAATCTATAATTATGAGTTTATATTTTAAAATTATGAGAAATTAGGTAGATAAACTTTTGCATTTTAGAAACTCATAAATTTTATAATATAACGTTGTCTTATATTTCACCAGTTTCACCATGCGTCTTTTTACTTTTTTATTATTCCAACTGTTTATGTTAGAACCACATAACCATAGAAAATTTTTTGACTATTTTTATATAGTTAAAAACAAGTATTCACCTCTTACTTTTCTGTTGCATTTCACTTTCTGAAATCCTACACCCCTTTCTTCTCTCTTCTCGCACTTAGTGCTCTTCCCATCCGTCCCACCTCCCTCACTTTACTTGTTGTCGTGCACAAACCTCTCATTGGTGGTCGTCGTGGTGGTACCGTGGTGAGCGCTTGCAGTGGTGGTTCTTCTTAGCTTGGGCGTCCAGGTTAATTGTTATTTCCTTAAGCTTTGTATGATAAAAAGATTGTATGTGA